TCAAATGAATTATTTTTGCTCAGTAGTCTACTTCCAGAATGGCTACTATGGCTGATGGATGGCCGAGTGCCGGAGGCACAGCCTTGAGGAGTTCGATTCCCACACAAGCCCCGAATCCTCTGCCAACTATCCCTTTGCATCGTTCGATCAACTTGTAAGTATAACGATGCTTTCAACGATCTCCAGTATTTTTTCCCATCTACTGGTTTAAGTATGCAGTTGTAATGGCATACTTCTTGTACTAATACAAAGATCTGATGGAGGAAGTGCCCTTTTATTAGTTTTACATTATGATTTTGAGTATATCAACTGGTAAAACGTGAATTTCTTACTGTTTACTTAGGACTGTACTAGAAGAGTCATATCCTTTTGCTTTTTCAAACTTACACTATAAGGTATCTTATGAGGGAGAGCGTGTTCTGTTAGTCGAGCTTAAGCAAGTAAATGCAGCTCAGTGAAATAGAGCAATATAGAATGACAAAGAAATGTTTCGGCTTGGATGTTTCACGATTGCTGTCTAAACGCACTAACTCCGATGTATGAGAAAGTGCACCATTTTTTACATCATCGTATGATTTTTCTTACCCTAATGTTGTCACATAAATGTTCGGTACATAGCGTTTTTCATTGAAAAATTCTGTTGTTTTGCATCACTTTTTCCCCGTAATCATATGACGGTTCCTCCCAAAAGTGTGATCTTTACTTGTTTTGATGAGCCTTTCAAAAGAAAAAAAATTGCTTGGATCAAGTTGAGTACGGATACGGTCTTTTCATAATAGTGACAAAGGCTGTGTTCCACATTTTCGCATTTCGATTTGCAACTGTAGTAGCCCATTATTGCATACTTGCTACTTCTTTTACATCATGCGCTCTTGATTTTATACTAATAAAGTGAGGAATATTGTAATTTTGTCATTTACTGTCTCCTGCAGGAACTTGTTCCAGATTTCCCCTTTCAAATTACACTTTTGGTACGAAGGATGCGCAATCAGAAAGGGATCATTCGGTACAAGCACGTTTTCAGAGAATGCGCGAGGAATATGAAAAGGTATGGCAAACTGCGATATTGAAGCATTGTTAAGTTTTACTTTTAATCGTTTGCTAATACCTGATAATTTTCATTTTTAACTTTGTAATATTGTTATTGCTAGCTTTTATGTCTAGGTTGGAATGCGACGCTCCGTGGATGCCGTTCTTATCGTGCACGAGCATTCGCTTCCTCACATATTATTACTTCAAATTGGAACCACTTTCTTCAAGTTGTGAGTTTTCATTTTTTCCCCCTTTTTGCGAATATTTTGAGATATCACCAATTAAAGGCCTGGGGGTGAGCTGGAAGTGGGTGAAGAAGAGACCGACGGCATGAAACGTTTGTTGGATCTTACCCTAGGCAGAACGGATGGTGTGAAAAACGAGTGGAAGATTGAGGTGTTATCATTAGAGATAGCTTAGAAATTTTCGTTCTCTATCACCATTGCCATTTATAGTTGCATTCATTATATTATTTTTCTGTTCATCTTACAGTAGTTTGCTTAATTGACCTAACCGTTTTTCTTTATTTTCGTAAAAATTATATTTTAGGATGAAGTCGGAAACTGGTGGAGGCCAAACTTCGATCCTCCACGGGTGTGTTATTAAATGTCCTGACTTCACTGCTTTCATTCAAACTTTGTATGTTCCAGTATCCTTATATACCAGCTCACGTTACTAAACCAAAAGAGCACACAAAACTGCTACTTGTGCAAATGCCAGAGAAAGGTTAGTTTGAAATGGCATCTGTTTAACTTTATTTTTTATCGATATTTTGCTTTTTTGTAATCACTCTGCTTGATCTAAGTAGTAACCACGCTTTCTTTTACTTTGGCTACAATTAAGTGCAGATAGGGGTTTCTAAAATGGAAGGTTAATGACGGAGTTGTGGAAAGTGGGTAAGACATTCATCATCAACATTACACTGTTAAGAGGATGGCTATTTCACCATATTATAAATTACGTTTGACGGGAAATTTCTGAAATACGAGCTTTTTGGTAGAAGTTAGGTTATCTTA